TCTCTCTCTCTCTCTCTCTCTCTCTCTCTCTCTCTCTCTTTCTTTCTCTATCTATCTATCTCTAATCTAACGGCTAATTAACGAGCCGGTGGGTACTCCGGTTAATGGCGCCGCGCGATTGCGATCGCGATTTGCGTGTACACTGCACTGTGATCGATACTCGATAGCCGAGCTCGCTTCAATCGAGCGTTTGCTGAGTGTTTGAGTGACGTTGGCGGTTTAATTTGCTGAAAAGTGACGCGGAAGAACGGCCAGATCGTAAAGTAATTAACCGCCCGGCGGGCGCTTCGATTAATGGCGCTGCGCTATCGCGCTCGACAAGGTGCAGGGATGGAATTCCTCCAAGTTGGGCCCCCGCGAATGATGCGCTTGACGAAATAATATCGGGACCAGTTCGAGAGGACCGCGAACTGTCGTGCGATTGTGGGGGAGGGAGAAGAATACACCTCGACACGCTCGGGGAAAACGTGGAAATTTAGAAAAGCGGCACTTTCGAATTAGAAAGAGTTGCACGGTCGCTCGAGAAGATTCATTAATACAGGTGCAAATGAGCCGTCGCGCGCCGCCCTCGAAAGCGTCTCGATGGCTCGCTCTTGTGATTTCGTGCGAGCCTCAGCCGAGGCCGCGAGGTCCTTCTTCACACTCGTCGTGCGCGACCATAAAGGTGTTTCCGCTGATGGCGACCACGAAGGTAGGAACGGACGTCGCTCGGGGCGCAATCTCCGTCGCGGCTGGATTTGCCGCTTGACGCGCCGGCCGGCCGAGGGATACCATAGCGTGTAGATCAAATATTCTTTCTGGACTGGTGATTTTGCGGAATTCCACTGCGAATGTACTCTCGAAGCGCTTCTATCTCGACACACCGTTTAACTCCGGCGCGAAGTCCGAGCGAAGACCGCGGCGGAAAAGTTACACGCGTCGCGTGCGTTACCCCCCGTTTTTTTCTTCGTTTTACCGTAATCCAACACGTCACATCTCTCGTCAATCGTTAATATCTCTCTTCTTCCCACCTTTCTTTCTGTCTATTTCTTTTTT